TCTGAAATTCTCAAACCTGCTTTTTGTTACATGATTTACAGTGCACACAGCGGGGCCCTTACATCTGGGTGTAGGAAACTGCAGTGCAGTGATACTGAATCCAGCTTTGTAGTATGCGTGTCTGAATTACATTGACTCCTGAATTCAGGCAGGGGTTGTAGATGTGCATGGTAGTTTGCTGCAGATATTGCTGCYGCTCTGTGTCCTGTGGATTGCAGCATCTAAATAGTGGCTGATGGYGCCTGGTGCATGATACACATGAAGGAAAGCAAGCAAACCAAATTCTGTCCTTTTTCCAGAGTTAATAATACTTTTGTTTCTTAYGCAGGGTTGGTTACCAAATGGCTCTCTTGAAGAGACGATTGTGTTTATCCTTAACCTATCTAAGCAGCGCAGTGATCCAGCGACAGTTCAGGTAACTTTCAAATTTTCCTTTTGTTTTCTTCAGAATGTTTCATGATTGAAAACGATGCTGTAATGTAGATCAAGAATAAGATACTGTATTTGTAATTCAAAAGGACGGTATAATTAAGAAAATCTCACAGTTGTTCCTTCATAGGTTGAAAAGTGAGCCCAAACACTCCATTTGCAGGTTCCTGTCATTCTGAACTTCACATTTTKTTATATGTATAAGGAGGCTTTTAGGCCTTTCAGAGCAATGCAYGGGCCTGCAAGACAGAAGACTCTGTTTCTCATGCAACTGCAAAAGAAAAATAGCGAGCCCCTGCTGATGCAGAGCCAATTACAGTGCCTAAAATTATTCAAGAGTTTATATTTCAGTTTTACAATAAAAATAATCGGAAAAATTACTTTCTCATCCTTTAAGAGTGTCTATTTTGTTATTTTTCTTTTGCTTCTTGTTGCAGGCTCTAGGCATTTAAAGCTTCTTAAATTTATGGACTTTATATTTTACAGTGCCTTGCACAAAGCTTAGAGCCTAATCCCACACTACTCTGCCAATATGGGGAATCTGTATAACTCTTTGAAGGGTCAGGGCTTCTGGTTTACAGGATGAGAATAGTCATTTCCAGGACTGTGGTCTAGAGAGGGAATTGMGACAATGCTCACAGCTAGGTTGTGTGGCAGTCCTAGGAGCTATCTCGAGGAGGTATCCAAGTCTTCTGGCTTGCTCTGTAAGTGGGCTGCATGAGAATATTGGCCACTATACATTTAAAGCATATGTAAGTGACTAGAGAAAGGTGAAGTCCAGTCTATAGAGGTGAGCAGGACTTCAGAAATCTTCATGGGAGACSTTTTCTTTTTGCTCCAAGTATTGCTCCAAGACTGTGGCAGAAATGAAGAAAAAATGGAAAGAAAAAAAGTACTCCTAGTGCAGTAGTTCTTGTCTAGTGATTCCTGGACAGTCACATTTATATCTGTTTTCTACTGCTGTTATGTACACTTAGTCCSACCAAAGTTTTCCCTGCTCCTTCCTGTGACAACATTTCTCTTTTTTCAGCCTCCTCCCTTCTGCTTTCCCTGTTTTTCAGCCACARGGTAGAGGAGAGTGTGGTGTACCACAATCCCTGCCAGAGGATGGGATGGGAGAGGGTGGCTGCTTGCAGAGGTTACTGACTTCTGAGAGAGGAAAGCTGGGGTAGGCCTCTGTGTGGGARGCAGCTCTTGAAAGGCAGTGTTTGACCTCTGTAGCAGTTGGATTAATGCACAGTGACTCCACTGGCCTTCCCTCACCACGTGTAAAAATACCTGCTTCAACTGATGTCCATCACACCGTGTTTGGTGTGCATGCTCATATTTTACGTAGCTTTGCAAATACAGGCAGGCCCTTCGTCYTCAAGAAGAGTTGATGGTCACTATTGGTATTTATTTACTTTACATCCTTCTGCTCTGGAAAACAAGATGAATGCTAGGTTGCTGCCATGTGCTGTCTACTAGTTTAGCTGGCAGCAGGTTGGCATTCCTACAGCTCTGGTCAACATGTTTCTAGTACCTCCCTGCAAAGCAGTTATTAGCAGCAGAAAGGATCTTCCTGCTTTTCCAATGGTCTGTGTTTGGGTGTTCTTTGAAGAAGAGCACCAAATCACTTGAGTTTGAGCTCACTGAATAAAAGAATAATGGTTTCTGCAAAGGAGTTTGTTCCTGCTGTTCCCAAGCATATTCAGAGTCAAAGCTAACAACTTAGTATTGTGCAGTTTACTTCTGTTTTTCACTCTGGATAATCAGACAAAGCAAACATACAGAAGAARCCCTTGTCTCACTGGATTCCACCTGCTTGGGGAAGGTGGTGATCTCTTAGATTCTAGCTGGAGACAGCTTAGCACAGCCACAGCAGGACAGCAGAATAAACTGGGAGACTCACAGACTTCACTGAAAGGAAGGTTGGTCATGAAAGTCCTTATTGCTGGAGATTGTGTACAAGATTGAAAGAGCCTGATTTGAGTCTTAGCTTCCTGCACACTGTTTCAAACAGAAGCAAGCACATATTTTTGTTTGTAGATTAAAGTTTGATTATTTGCAGTTGGTAAAAAGACCATGAAATGCAAGCCATTCTTCATGCCATCTTTTAGTTGTGTTTCACAGTGGAAAGGTCGTTTCATGTTTGACATTTAGTAAAGTGTGTGCAAAGCCCAAAGTAGCATCTGGCTTCCGAAGACCACATTGAATGCAGTCAGTGTGTCACCCAGATGGTATATRTTTGTTGCTGACGCCTTCCGAGTGGTTTGTGTAATGACAAAATTYTGTGCTGGGTTTGCCTTTGCTCCCCAAGGATTATTGAGATCCGTCTCTCATTCTCTCCTCTCTTTTGGCAGTGTCACTGGAGCATGCCAAGCAATACAGAAACTGACCCGTGTGCGAGTGGTGGACAACAGCACCTTGGGGAACACACCGTACCACCGGCCACCAAAATGTATCCATGTGTATAACAAGACTGGAGTTGGCAAAGTAGGGGATAAGATCCTTCTGGCAATCAAAGGAGAAAAGAAGAAGGCTTTAATTGTAGGGCACAAGATGCCTGGCTCTACCATGACACCTAGATTTGATTCCAACAATGTGGTACTCATAGAAGATAATGGAAATCCAATAGGGACTAGAATAAAAACACCAATACCCTCTACCCTGCGAAGAAGAGAAGGTGAATTCTCCAAGGTATTGGCCATTGCCCGTAACTTTGTATGAATGCTACGAGAGGTCTTCAGCAATCCTTTTATGTCCTTTCATGCAGTAGCTGTATGAAAGGTCCTTTTCCAGAAACTGGTGAGATATGAAAAAGTGGATGCTCATCAAGAGCTCTCCTCCTTTGAGAATTTTGAGCAACTAGTTTAAATATGGAAAGTTTATTTTCCTCCAAAAGAAAGTTGATTTATTTCACAGAACACCTACTGTGTTTGGGAAATGGTCCTTCACCCTTACTCCTCCTGTGGTGGTAATCTGGTCTGTCATCATTAAAATGAGAACATGAAAATTCTTGTCCTGTATTGTTTATACTCTCTTTTCTCTATTTCTGCCTTTCCCAGTTCCCCAGGAGCAAGACTCAGTCCCTGGCCCAATGACAGTGGGACCTACAAAATTCACAAGTAATAGGGTAGGAGAGATACGTAATGAATTGTGGGTGCCTCAGGCACATGCAGTAAAAAGACTAGCACATGCAGTAAAAAGACTAGTTTCTGTCTTTGCCTAAGAAGTATTTGGGAGGAATCACAAACAGGAGGGCATGGTGGCCTGCAGCTTCAGTGGTGTGTGCCTGAACAGGGCATGCCAGAAATTGGGAAGCAGAAGCAGGAAGGGGAACTGAAGGGGGTGGGTTTGAGATGCAGCCAGTGCTCTCCACCTGACCATCCTCAAAAATTGTGTTCTCCAATTAATGCAGGGGCTGGGGTCAGATTGAAAKGTCCACAGAAAGGAGTTTCCTTTTGGACTTCACTTTGGGACTATTGTTGGAATGATCTGTGATACCAGTTGGTGAGGCTGGCTGTTGTCCTCCTTTAAGCTCAGGCATCTGGACAAGTGTTACTGTGTTGCTTTCAGGAGCAGTTGGGATCCAGGAGCCAAATAGCTGCCTTTCTGTGGAGCTGTGCAGAGAAACTTGGTGCTCGTGGCTGGTGAAGGGACATCAGGACAGAGCGCTGTTAAACATAGCAGTGYTGAAGAAGGGGATGCAGCCAGCAGGAGTCTGATGAGCTTTAGACCCTTGAGCCTTCCTCACAGGTCTGGTGGCAGTTGTGGCTGGCTGCACCTTGCCCTGCTGCCTCCCCTTCCTGTTGTACTGGGAAAGCTTCTTACTTTGGCTCTGCATTGTCCCAGTGGGAAGCTCCAGTGCTGAGCTAYTGCACACTCCAGTTACTCCTTGCARATGTATGYRTGCTCCATGCCCCCCYACCTTTGAAATCCACATGGTCCCTGGATCCCCTCAAACTCCATTACTCCAGGTAACACAACAAAAGATGATCCTATAGGTTTAAYTTCAGTATTAAACCTTTCAGTAAGGGCACTGTCCCACTAAGTAAAATTCCCTGTGAATTCAGTTCTGTGGGAAAGAAAAAATCAGCCACTGCTGGTAGCATATTCCTTGTTTGCTGTTGACCATGGGCCAGGGAGCATTTGGTCTCCTGCTCCCAAGTCCCCTGAGCCCCATGGGCTTTAAGCCCTGGGCCTGCCTTGTCCATAGGTGTCTGCCCAATGGCACAGCAGCAGAGCAGATGCTCACCTGGCTGAAGTCAGTGTTTGCAGTCTGAGTGCAGTCAACTTCCAGGAGCAACTGTCTGTGCTCAGGGATGTTTGTGCTATTTTGCTAAGTGGGACAGTGGGCACACTCTGCGCACAGCGATAAGTGTGACTGGCCTCCCTCCCTTGGGTGGGGTTAGCTGCTGTGTCACAATGGCATGGCATAGCCTGATGTCTCGGACTGTCCATTGCCTTTTGTCCTGGTTAAATTTGTTTCTGGATCAGCATGGAATGGTTCTGGTGCTCTTTTTTTWWAAAAAAAAAWAAATTACTGGCACCAGCAATGCTTTTTGCAGGGCTGCAGGGTGCTGAATCTTTCAGAGTTTGGCTAAGAGGTGGGAAAGGCAGCATTGTGCCATATCATCAGTGGATAAATCTTCACAGTCCACTTCAGGTGTAGTTTTTAGCTTTTTTCAGAGCTTATACCAGTAGAAGGCTAAAGTATTTTGAGTAGAGAAAGCATATTCTTTTATGCATTTTTAGGGAGAGTGTGTATGCCACTGAATAGATCTGTGGTCTTGCTTTAGAAAACCTTCTGCAACCTTTGGAACTMCTCCAACCCTGAAAAAAACATAAATAAATACTTTTATAATCTTTTAATAAACAACTCATAAGTCATTTGACAGGTCTGTTCTGGCCTTGCTGCATACATAAGGAGCTCAGCTTTCCTCGATGTAAATCCTTTTGAGAACAGAAGAGGAAGATGGCTTCCAGTAACACAGTGCTGGAAAATAGACTTGGAAATGGCACTTGTACAGGGTATTTTGTTTCYGTGCACAATCTGTGGGTAGAGTTGTAGCGGGGTTCATCCCAAGCTGAATACCTCAGTCCTGCCTAGCCTGGTTTATAACTTGTCTGAAGGGACACTTTACTGTGAGATTTTTGCTTGGCAACAACTCCAGCCTCAAAGCATCAACCAGCAGGACCTGGGTGCCTGCAAACAATCCTTGCTTTTCTTGTCCTGACCATAGGGGCTACGAATCTCATGGGATGCCCAGACCCTGCTGTTTGGATATTAAACATTYCACAGAATATTTGCAAATAACTTCCCAGCATTTTGCTGAGGAAGAGGTCATGGGGAGAGGGCATGAGAGGAAGCAGGCAAGACAATGCAGCATACTTGAGATTAAAATGCTCTCARTTAATGAGATTAAAAATAAAAGTGATGCTTTAGTTCTAAGTAAACTAATACGTGTTGAACTAAATCCTTAATCTCAGAGTTTAATAAGCAGACATGCAGACAGCTAAGCTAAGCATATCCCATAGTGCATCTCCTGCAGCTTTTACCTGTCTTCCCTGATGAGGACTATAGTCTCAGCAGAAATCCCTGGCCTCTGTTGACAACTCTGTGCGTGGCAAATTCCAGGCACTGCCTGTAGCAGTATCTCTCTGAGGGGAAGGACTCAGGCCTGKGGGTGAGTCCTTAGCCTCTCCCACCCATCCCACTGATGTGGTCCCTGCCATGGCTGCAGGGTGTAAACAGCCCAGGCTGTTGTKGGCTCTCCAGGCTTTCTGTTTATTTCCTTTAAGCAGGCCCTGCTCAAGGATTCTCATTTCCAGGTCCCCTCTTTTGTTTTGACACTGGGAGTAATACCTGTTTGTTCTCAACTTCCAGGCTGTGCTCTGCTCYGTTCCAGAACCTTATGAGCAGCCAGCTAGTGGTGTCCTGGGAGCAGCTGCTGGTTTTCTGGGACTCTGGCTTGTGACATCCTTCTTTGGGATCCACTGAGGCTTAACTCGCTCCAAATGGGAGACTTTTCCTTTTGCATCCATCCTAGTAGGAAAGCAGGTGTGATTTACTCTCTGTGTAGCAGTTCTTCCTGCAGGTCCTTTTCTTAAAGGATGGCTGCAGGTAAGTGGAAGGATTCCCTCAGGGGAGGGGAGAAAACCCAAAACACTTCCTATCTCAGCTGCTGCCACAAGATCATTCTCTGCCCATGTCCATGTTTATTATTTTGCCATGAACATGATTGTATATTGTAAATGAAAAAAAAWTTCCAGTATGAGACATGCTTAGGACGAGTTCTCTCATCTCCTGTGACAATTTCTGGGGAATCTGCCACCTGTTGCAAAGGGAAAGGGAAGCCAAAGGCAGAGTCCTTCTGGGGTCTTCTTGCTTCAKTACAAATGTGGCCCGTGGTATTTTCCAGCTGGGTCTTTGGGTTCATGTACATTCCTGTGCGTTTGGATATAGGATTTGCATCAGCTGAAGCTCCCAAKAGGATGCCTATTTGTCTGGCAATGGTGGGGACTTTGTGCCCAGACACCCTTCCATGGGAGCTGGGGAAGAGATGTCTTTTTAGGGCATCCTGCATGGRTGGGGAGAGATGGCCTTTCAGAAAATGCTTGCCCATGAAAGACATGTGACGAGGCTTTCTGGATGAGGTTTGGRGTCTGCAAAAAGACAGGCGAGCACGGGGGATTTACTGGCTGTGAAAAAGCAGGCACGGGGCTGGCTAAACGGGAAAAGCCTCCGAGTCAAGTGAAGTTTTCCAGGGTGAGATCTCACTTCTTCGCGCTGAATGCAGCATACAGGGGGGCACCTTGGAGAAAGCATTTCTTCAAGAGATTCTGCTTGCAAAGTCTCTCTTTTGCTGCATTGTTGGGTGATGGGGAAATGGATGACACAGACACCAATATGATGAGCAATGTCATAATTTATTATAATAAAAGCATTTTTATCTACTTTCATAAACCAACCCCTCTATATGAATGGCAATTATTCATTGGTTAATTTAGCAGTCTATTACATCTCAGCATATGATTGGTATATTTGCAAAAGCGTGTTTTGTATGCCTTGCAGTTTTCATTTGGTGTTTTCAGCATTTTGCTCCTGCTTCAATCGTTCTTTGTTCCTCAATTGCTCTTTGTTCTTTCTTCTTACTATGTTTCTTCATGGTCAGTGCAGGCTACATGTTACACTGCTGTAGTCATGTCCTTCTTTTTCCCATCCTCTTCTATCTCAGCTTGCTCTATCTTGTAGTCTGGGTTACTCAGTAACAGCAATTTGTGACCTTGTTCCCATAAGAACCTGTTTAACAGAGATCCTCCTAACAGAGATCCACCTAACTGAGATCCTTCCACATATCCCCTTCTTTCTTTGTGAGCAACCCAGTTCTGTAGCACAGTCTTCTCTGCAAAACGATAAATGCATCACAGCAAGCAACCTGCTGTCAACATAAGAGCAAACAAGGTTAATACAAATCTTAATCCTTCTAACAACAAAGTTTTCAGCCAACCTGTAATTCCCCATTTGCTTAGCCAGGTGGAGAGAGGATCAGTGCTAACCGTAATTGAATGCTGATTAGCTTATAACTGAGCAAGCTTTTTCTGAATGGAAGTAGAATGATCAGAAAGGTCAAAACAACACATTCCTTCAAAATCTTCTCATCCATGACCTTGTGCTAATAAAAGAAAATCAATAGTTGCCCTGTTTTTCAAAGTGGCATGTCTAATACTGTCAACATCAGTCATAAGGTCACAAATAATTTCTGAAGTCAAATTAAATTGTTTCTCACCCCAAGAGGTGAGAAATTCAAGCGTTTCCAATTCTTTGCATTCATGGCCGCCATACCTCCTGGTAAGAAAATCGATGTTGCAATCACTGATGCTAAAGAGGGAAATTTTATATTATCATTGTAGGCTTCATCTAACAATTGTGCGGCTCTCTTATTTCTTAATTTAGCAGTAGCTATAGCATTCAATATTTGTCACATTCTTGGGGTAAACATAGTTAATTCCCCAAGGTAACA